CAGCACCCAGCTCAAAACCCCTTCCTGTCTAGACTGCCACCACAACCCCGCATAGTTTTGCACACGAGCCTACAGACCCTGTAAAAACCCCACAGACCCTATCTTCAGGGCCAGCTGTTTTAGTGCACTAGCACCGGCTGGTCTGCTAGTGTGAATAAATCTGCCTGCTTCTCTCTTCCTGAGTGCTGCTTGGTTTCCTTTCTATTTCAATGTGACTGCTAACCAGAAGATTGGCAGTTCGAACCCACCAGCCACTCTGCAGAACTAAGACTGTGCAGTCTATTTCGGTAAAGATTTACCACCATGGAAACCCAATGGGGGTCGCTCTGAGTTGGAATCAATAGATGGCAGTGGGGTTCGTTTTTGGTTGGTCTGTACAGATTTACAGCCTAGGAAATCACGTGGGGCAGTTCCACTCTGTCCTCTAGGGGCGCTGTGGGTCAGAATCGACTCCATGGCAGTGGGTGTGGTTTGGGCTTTGCTTCTGGGAAGACTGACAGCCTGGGAAACCCTGTGGAGCAGTTCCACTCTGTCCTCTAGGGATCCTGTCAGAATCATCCACAGAGATGAGGTTTCCTTCTTGGTATCCTTTTCTTAACAACCACTCAAGTAAGTAAAGAGGAATTTATAAAGACACTGAGAACAAGAGACAATAACGATGGGGGGTGAAGGGGGAGGGACAGGCATCCCTGCTTTTGCAAAGTTCGCTCTAGGCCACTTTGTTTCCACAAAAGACCTGAATTAGTGCCTATTTTTACTAACTGAAAAAAATCCTAAGAGGAATTTTGCTTTTAGGGAAAAGGCAAAAAGCAAAAATAGTATTGAGCGTTTGTTTTACAGCCATACGTTCCAGCGACAGCGCACCCGGAGCAGTGAGCGTGGCCCCGCCTAGCGGCTTCCTCAGGAACTGCGTTCAGCATCCCAGCGTCGAGCCGCCCTGGCCCCGAAGTGTGTCTGTGAGGACCGTATGTTAGTGTGATTCTAGGTTTCAGGTGTTATGCAGTGGGATCTGCTGGGTTCTTTCTGGAGTCTGGGAAAGCTCAAAAGTTTTTCCCATACACGTTAATGGTAACTGCTTCTTCTCTTTAGCCACTTCGTCTTACGAAAGGTTTCATAGGGACGTTCTGCTTTTGAATAGAGGGGGAAACCTGTATTCCACTTCCATCCAAACCAACTTATGACAAGCTGCTGGTCATGAGAATGGAACCTCGTCCAAAGGCAGGGGTACCTGCATTTATTTTCAGGGACTTTTAAAAACTGCATTTGATCTTCACATGCAGCAGCTTATGTTTGAAACGATTACGACACCCGGCCGTTCCTCGGCTTGTTAATGAATTCCTTTCCTTCTAACTGCCCTTATTGGCATAATCGCCTCCATCCATGCACGAGATCAACGTTTGAGCTTTAAAGCATCTATTTGCTCTTTCGTTAGAGCTGCGCCCAGGAGAAAGCTCAGCGGTGGTCCATCCACTCCCACGAAGCCCAGGGGTCCACGGAGGCGGCTGGGAAGGCGTCTTTATTCCGAGGGTGGGAAAATTCCTTGAGTCTCCAGGGCTATTCAGGGAAAGCTGAGCCACACCCGCTTCCTCCCCCAGGGGGCGCTGCTCTCGCCCGGAACTCTGAGGGGAGCCAGGACTGCGGGCTGCGGGCCACCCCTTGGCGGCTGCGCCATTTCACATGCGAGCCTTCTTAACATATAAAGAGACTCCAAGAACCCAGGGTTCCCAGGCTCTCGCAGCCAGCCCGTAACTTCATTCTTGAGTGTAATACCAAGAGGCCAGTTACCTTCTGCTTTCTTTCCTGTTTAAACTACACGAGGGCGACGGATCCACAAACTAGGGCGCACACAGACAGTGGATGCCAGGCAACGTTCAAGAATAATGGATCTGCAAATCATCTCCCAACCTGGCTGAATCTAGAGGCCGTTTTGGGCAGTTAAGTTAGTCAATGACAAAAGGACAGGTAGCGTAGGGGACCACTCCTGTCAAAGGTCAAGAAAAGAAACAGAAGCATTCTTTGGTGGTTACCAGGGTGGCAAGGGACGGTGAGCCACTTAACCAGAGGGCTGTGGCTGCTGGTGCCGTCCGGCCAGTTGCGACCCAGAGCGATCCCACGGACAACGGAGGAAACCCTGTCCGGTCCCGCGCCAGCCTCACAGTCCCTGCTGTGCGGGAGCCCCCTGCCACAGCCACTGTGTGCAGGGCAGATACGCATTAACTGGGGTGAAGGCAAAGGCAATATACAATATGCAGTGGGCACAGAGAAGACACCGGAAGGAGCACAAGACTTAAAGGCAACAATGGGGAATCCTATCACACACACTCCTGCGATAACGGTAATGACAGTAATCCACGAGGGGTACAGAGACACCCAAGCTGAACAGGGCTGGGCGGGGAATGGGACCCCACCACGAATACACATGTTTGACAGAGATTTCTAGCAAGAATCAAAGCCTGCCACCTGAGTTTCCTCAACTCCTCGCCTCTGTTAACAGTTCATTGTTAAATAGTTAACATTCTATGTATTGACTGACTAAAATAAATAAAATCTAAAAAAAAACTACACGAAGACACCTTGTTCTTGAAACGTCACAGTGACGCCATCCAACCTTAATCAAAGAAGCACAAAACGTTTTTCCCCAGCCAACCATTACCCTACAGCAAAGATGGAAGAGGACAGGGAAACCAGCTCTCAGGAAGAGAGACCTCCAGAGGGGAATGAACGAGGATGCTGACCCACGGGAAGACTGTCACCCACGTCCCTGAACA